TTTGCACATGTGAAGCATTTGTTCATCTTGATGCATTTGTATGTTGGATTCGTAACGGTGAGACATGAACTCAACTATGGGTGTTTATGCTTGGAACCACACATGTAATGATTTTGCATGGAACCGACTAGATACACCTATGCTTTGAACCATATTCATAAAAATAAGGAACGAGTCTGGTTAAATACGATTATGCTTTGAATCATACTTACAGTTGAGGGACATGAAACTGGATAGATGTGGCCATGCTTTTGAACTGCAGTATGTGTCATAGAGGGCCATTCCCCGACTTCCCATCCACTCCCCGAGATAAAAGCTCGGATGGAGGTGCGCGTCTCCAGGATCTACCACTCATGTCCCTTGTATGGTTTAGATACGAAGGGGTGTGTGCCAACTATGCATGGATATATGTAGTTCTTTGACAAGTGGATGTTTTATTTGTTGTAGTCGGATATGCAAAACGCCTCTGGCAGCACCTCTGAGAGAATTGGTTGTTGTAATTGAACGCAAAAATCATCTTTGATAGCTCACATGGACTCTTTAGGAATTCTTTGCATTGTGGGGAATTGATTGCTTTAAGCGTCTCTAACAACACCCCTAAAACCCATAGGTAAGGTTGGCAGTGTAGGGAATTGATTGCTTTAGTAGGACGTGTAAAGCGTCTCTGACAACACCCTTACAATAGCAATACATATATGTATATAATTTACACTTAACATTTATAACAGTATTTGCAACTAGGAAATATATTTACAAATATATTAATTAAATCTTACAGTCAGACGCAAGTGGGTACCAATCGCTCACCCTCAGATGTGTTGTTCGGGTGGTTTGACCACCCTCTGATTTGGAGGACTTGTTATTTAGCTTGGGAAACGATCAACTTCTGATGGATGTGTCTGTTTATACTTCTCAGGTTACTTGGGTCTCGGTTGGCGTTCGACCGAAGACCGAGGGGATTTTGGATTACGTTTGTGCTAACTTACTAGTCTTCGATGCTCTTTTAGCTTTGTGGCAAGCATAATCTCTTGGGTAGTTATACCCGGGACACCTTTTGTACAAAAAATGTCTTTCCTTTTGACTCATACCCCAACCTTCTTCATAGTATTCCCTTTGATACATGGTCGGGGTGTTGGGGACTTCTCCCGTCGATGGAGATCCACGTGGCCCTTATTTACTCCTTCGGGCTCGATGCCCGATCGACCATTTAATCTCATGAGTTACCTTATCCTCGGAGATTCCAATCACCCTGCAACTCCCTTATCATTTGGCAGTCTCAGACACTTGGTGATTTTCTAGGACCAGGTTTTGGTCGTTACAGTGATGAGACATTCGACATGGGCCGACCATGGTACCATATAAGTGGAGACGAGCCCGAAATGCAGCTAGGCTAGAGGCGAGATGGAAATCGATCGATCTTAGCTCCGTGAATCTAGATCTCGATTTGAGGGGATTTACTAACTAGCTTTGTCATGGGTTTGAGATCGATACTTATGGTCGTAGAGTTGAGTCTCGGTCTAAGGATGTGTATTGGCATCATCCCAAACATCATAAATCTAAGACCTCGATTCTGCGTCAAAGACGCTTTTGAATTTTGGATATGAGAATCTGACCTGATTTCGTTGAAATCTAATGAATCAAAAGTCGATTCCCATAGAGGGTGTCACTGTTCCATTATGGAACCATAAATGGAGAGATTGTGGAAATTATGACAAAGTGAAGCTTCTTAAGCAATTCAGTGGTGCAACATAGTGGATCGGGGGATGAGATCGTGGTGCTTCTTAAATCAGAGATGTTGATCTTGAACTGATTTTACTAATTGGTGTCGATCTTGAACCAACGTTGTTAATCTCCGGTACGGGGGATAAAAAAACATGGGTGTATTTGCAAGGTTAGGAATCCAATGCCTAAGTAGTTTAGGGTTCAGATAATCATTGATAGAGTGAAGATTATAGATTGTATACCTGAAAACTCTTTTGTGAAGGTATTTATACTTTGGATTCAATGAAGTGGGCTGATAAGTGAGACTTATCTTATTGGTTTTTTGGTTAGCACAGAACAATAACCATAATAATAACTTATGACATTTATACAATCAACTATAAAGTATTTACATGATGGATCAATCTAATATAAATATTACGATTAATATTTATACATATGTAGAGACTTGATATATAATATTTATGGTTCATGAGATATAGTCATCAGGTTACTCACATAATAATCTATACACATTATTATTGTCATATTTGATAGTAAAAATTGACTCTAAATATTTTCATAATGTCATTCTTATATTTAATGATGTCTCATTTAACTCACGCTTAATATTCCATCGAGAAGATTGTTTATTATATGGACTTTATTACTTTCAAGCAAACATAATTAAGAAAATACTTTTATGAAAATTATTCTACCCGATCAAACGTTTAGTTAAAAAGGCCGACTTTTATATATATATATATATATATATATATATATATATATATATATATATATATATATATATATATATATATATATATATATATATATATATATATATATATATATATATATATATATATATATATATATATATATATATATATATATATATATATATATATATATATATATATATAACACATCAAGTAGAAGAGTGTTTATAAGGAGAGATGAGAGAAATAAATATCAATCAAAAATTATTTATTAAAAGGAGAATACTTAGGTGCATTTTCATAGGCGTGGTTCATATTTTTCTCCAATAAAAATATGATAAATATATCTAAATATCTTTTAAGGAGTAAAAATAAGAAGAAATTGCATATATATAAGAGGAAATTATACACTTGTCATATTTTCATTAGAAAAAAAACATGAACCACACCTAAGAAAATATACCTAAATTTTTTCCTTACTAAAATGTTAATATAGCTATTAATTTCTCTCTCCTAATTAATCCAATGATTGATTATTCTTTATATATATATATATATATATATATATATATATATATATATATATATATATATATATATATATATATATATATATATATATATATATATATATATATATATATATATATATATATATATATATATATATATATATATATATATATATATATATATATATATATATATAAGGCTTAAGGTACACACACTTTTCATGTTTTATTCTATCCATTTTTGAACTCAATCATTGATTTAGGTATCGAAATGTTAATCTTTTGAATCCACCCACACCTTCAACTGCATCAGAGACTTGCAACAATGCATCACGAGTCCATCATCTCAATCTACACTTAATTACGGTTCTGATTAGAAACCAAAATAATTAATAAGATACAACTTCTAATTTAAATATAAAATCATTGACCACTAAGACTTACGCGCCATCATATAATTCTTTTGAATTATAATTATGAGTTATGACTATGAAAACAGATATATTATTTTCAATTAAGATGAAGATGTGACATTTGTCTCTCTTGTATTCTTGGAACATTTGAGAGTTGTTGTTTCTACCTTTCTTGTACCCTCCAACAGATAATATTTAGAGATTAATTTAACTTAGAAGAAGAAAATGAGAGACGAATCATTTATTAAATATTGTTATAGAATATCTGAGACTCTTACTTGTTAGAGACATTGTTTGATTAAATGTGACAGATAAAATTTAACATCGATTATAATTAAATAAATATTAAATACCTAAAAGTGTTTATTTCAATATACAATTACATTATTCATCTTTATTTATAAGTATTTATATAAAAACAGCTATAGCTTATATGTATTAAATTTTTAAAGATAAATTTCTTTTGACGACCGTTTGACTAATAACTTATATTAGTCTTCCTTTGCAAGTAACAAGAATTTGATTAGTCACCACCATCTAATTTTTTTCCTTTTGGTGAATTCTCCTCTCTCAAATTTTACAACCACCTCTAAGGTTTGTCACATTTGTTCAAACCATAGTATACGACATTTTACAAATTTTCGACCACATATAGTACCTCTTTCAACAACTTTTATTTTGGTACTCTTTATTATTTACACCCCTAAATCACAACTTTTGTCTCCTTCATTTTTTACTAACCAATTACTAATAAAGTCTTATTGTAATTATTCAAGCAACAAAAAGTCTTGTTGTAATTATCATCAATTTGCTCTCGTACTGTGAGAATATTTCCAATCCCCAAGTTATCTCCAATTTCTATAATAAACAATAATTCTCTCCATTTTCTTTACAAATTTGAAATCAAATTCTAATAAAACCAACAATCATTCACAATTAGTGAGTTGCACATCACAACAAAATAATTATCTATTATCACTCTTGTATACTCTTGTATTCCAATTGCAATGAATATATTCCATGGTCCCATATTCATTTTTTTAAGTAATTATTTTATCTTTCAAGCAAACGCGTATATGTGAACTTTGCCCAATAGGGTAATTTAGATATACACAAATCCGCAAAAAAATAAATTTTACACCGAATTGAATCAAAAATTGAAAAATTGTTTATAAATTTAAATTTTGCAATGCCAGTTAAGAAAAGCCAGAAAGCAATAAATAGAAAAAGGTTATTCCATTTGAGCAGCAAGGTTTGCATGTTACTTATAGCTCTTTTTCTGTTCAAGATCACACTTTCTAAATTTTTGCCGCTCTATAATTAATGTCACTGTTACAATATATGTTTTACACACTCATATAGTAGTAGTTGTAATAGGCAACTCAATTTTCCACCGTTGGATTGAGATCAGATGGTTTAGATTTAAAATTAGGTACATCAATAAAAATATTATTTCTTACAAATGATATTATAATTTATGGGGTGGTGTGTGTCTTTTGGTGGAGGAATGCTTGTTACCTACTCCTTTTAAGTTGTCATTTTTTGCCCTTAAAATTTACTACTAGTATGTTTGTTTGTTGAGAGAGAAAAAGAGAGAGAATAAGAAAGAAAGAAAGAAGTAAGAGAAACTAAAATTGTTGCAGTTGGTGATAATGGAGAGACACAAATGCAAGCTATGTTCAAGAACATTTAGCAATGGAAGAGCACTTGGTGGACACATGAAGGCTCATCTTGCCATAGCTAAGTCTCAGAAACAACAAACTGTTTTGTTTTCGAGCTCTTCTTCAGAATCGGAACAAGAACAAGAACAAGAACGAGAACGAGAGAAAACTCTGGTTAGTTATGGTTTGAGAGAGAATCCAAAGAAGAGTCTGAAAATTGCAGATCCTGGATTTTCTTCTGTTATTGTTCAAGATAGAGAAAGTGAGACTGAGTCAAAGAATAATCCGACTCGTCAACAACGATCCAAACGAATCAGAAAACACATCAGCAGCATTAACAACAACAACAACCAGAAATTTGAATTGAAGAAAGCAAAGATGAATTTCATGGTGCCAACAGCAACGTTGTTGCCATTCATTGAGAGTACTGAACCTGTGAGTTCAGTTTCTGATACTTCTCCTGAAGAAGATGTTGCTATGTGTCTGATGATGCTGTCAAGAGACAAATGGAACAGGAGGAACAACATGAACAATGTGGTGGAACAAGAAGAAGAGGGATCGGTGAAGAAAGTAGCGAACACGAAGTTGTTGAAACGAGTTCGCGGAAAGCATTTTTGTGAAAATTGTAGGAAAATGTTCCGGTCTTCAAGAGCATTAGGAAGCCACACAAGTGTTTGTTGTCGCGGTGAAGCCAAGAATGGCAACGATAACCATGATAAGATTTTTGAATGTCCATTTTGTTTTAAGGTGTTTGGTTCTGGTCAAGCACTTGGTGGTCACAAGAGATCTCATTTGATTCCTTCATCATCTAACACCACACCTAATGTTAATCTTTCAGCTACATTCAAAGAGACTTTCATAGATCTCAATTTGCCAGCTCCCGTTGAAGAAGACGATCTTAGCGTTGTTTCATATGCCTAATTGTGTGGCTAATTATCATTAGTTCTTAAATTGTTGGAATTGGGTTAAATGGTTTTTATTTTTATTTTTTAAATTGATAGATCAAATGCTTTTTGATTCTATAATGGTAGATGAATATTAGTTATGATTTTCACCAACTGTCTGCTATCTTGTTATTCAGTTACATGATGAATTGCTAGTAAAAACAGTTGAAGTTTCTTCATTGTGTGTACTAGCCAACATGGTTCTTACTTACTTGATTGATAGTACTAGTATTCTTCATACTTTTGCAATGGGAATTTCAGATTTGGTTTTCTCTGTGGACCTACAAATTTGCCTTTAAAAGTACTAAAGTTCTGCAATTCTATTACTGCTAGTTTTTTTTTTTTTTTTTTTTATAAATTTAAGTTGTACTAGTATTTTTCATAAATATACAAATAAAAGGGTTATTCTCTTTCTTCATTATTGAGTAGTTTTGTGTTTGTATTGGTTTGTTTGTTGAGTTCATGTTATTGTTTTAAGCGTGAAGCATGAAAGCAATGATTCTAAAGAAGGAGTCAGAAACGGTTAATGATTAAAGAAGCCAATAGGACTGTACAATTAGTTTCTTTTTCAGTGTTTGAATGGATGCGGTGGAACTTACCGAACTATCTATAGAACTTTTTTATCTCAAAGAAACTCGTTGAGAATAGTGATTTAAATATTTATAATTCAGAGAATTCACTCATCTACCACTTCAAGATTTTAGATAAATATGTGGTATTCTTCCATAAAGATGTATTGTTCAAACGAAAAGTCTCAAAAATAATAATACTAGGGTTAACAAAACTGTAGTAATTTTTTTTAATAATAATCACATAAATTTCTGAATTTGATTTTTAATTTTGTTATAGCAGACTTTATCTTACCTTGTTTAAAAAGAATGAGTAAAAGGAGGTGGACCCATTTTATTTTTGTCCAAGAAATTTATATGATATGATCAATTATATATATATGCGGATCAAAATACAAATAGATCAATAAAGTAAATGTGACTGAAAACGAAGATTTCTGTTTTTATATACTTTCACCTATTCGTTTATAAAGTAAAGTAATTAATTGTATAGAGATCCAACCAATGGCGGGTGCATAATTTTTTCAGTGGAGGTTAAAAAATAATGTATATATTTTGACTTAAAAAATATTTTAAACTTTTTCAAAATACAACCGTAACGAAAAAAAAAAAAAAAAGAGTTTACCATTGTTTCCTACTAAGTTTCATGTTCTGAAAGTGTTCAACAATTTTTTAATGTCTATATTATCAAATACATCATTTTCTCTATACTCCCTCTCGTTTTTAATATAACAAAAAAATTTTTTTACTGAAAATAGAATAAATTCTTGAGAAATAATCAATTTTAATTTATAAGAACCAATTACACTTAAATCAATTCTATATCTCTAAAATTATTTTTATATATTTTAAAATGAAAATCAAACGTACACAATAACTATGACTATGGCATATAGATAAAATAATATGAGATATGACATTTTTTAAAATAAAATAGGTCAATAAAAGTGAGAAATTTTTATATAATGAAAACAAATATTTTAAATTTAAAAATATAACTAAAATGATAAATAATATTATACTAATATGATAGAAAAACCACAAATATACTCAAAATAACAAAATAATGATTAAAAAAATACAAGAAATACATTGATTATTTTCTTTGTGCTTTCGCTAATTTTATGTCTTGTAAGATCGAAGACAAAACATTCACCTTTCTAGGAATCCCTATATGTTCCAATCATATGAGGATTGCGTCTTGGAATTCGATTATTTCTAAGTTAAAGGCTAGGCTCGAGAGTTGAAAATGGAGATTTCTTAGTTTTGGAGGTAGAATAACATTGTTGGAATCTGTTTTGGCCAACAATTCTATTTTCCATCTTTCCTTCTTCAAAGCTTCAAAATAATCGAAGTCTCAAAATATTCTCCTTTGGGGCGATTCGGTTGGTAAGAGGAGGATTCATTGGATAGGTTGGGAGCATGTTTGCTTACCTTTGAAGAAATATGGTTTAGGTATGAAACACATTTCTGATTTTAATGTCGCTTTACTTTTTAAATGAAGATGGAGGATTCTTTTAGGTGAAACAACTTTATGGAAAGAATTTCATTCGACTAAATACGGTAACCTGAGCATCCAAATGCTTTTAGGTTCTGTTTCTAACCCAGTGTCATCTTGTTCTACTTGGTGGATTGATCTGGTTCGATTGGAACAAAGGCTGCCATCCCTGGTTTTTTCGATTAATTGCAGGTTCAGTTTAGGGAATGGAGAATCTTGCAGGTTCTGGGAAGATAATTGGTTTTCGGAGGGCTGCTTCAAGGATCTGTACCCGTATCGTTTTTCGTTAAGTAGCGGTAATGAGGTGTTAGTGGCGGAGATGGGGAATTGGGATGATATTTTGTGGCAGTGGGGAGGGTTGGGTATCAGCGTCGTTCTTAATTTTTCTGAACAATCCATATTGTAATTATTGTTCTCGTTGTCAATGCATGTCGCGTCGGTTGAGGCTTCTAGCGATAAGGTGGGATGGAAGCCCGATTTCTTGACAAGTTACACTACAAGTTCTGGCTACGAGGTGATGTCCAGCGTTCACGATAGCAGTGCCTTATATGCAGATTTTTCGAAGGCTCTTGGTTTTCTTTGGAAATTGGGCGTGCCCTTTAGAATTAAATCTTTTGTGTGGAAGTATTTTTTGAATAGGTTGTCGGTGACGAATCTGCTCATTTAAAGAGCTATCGCTCTATCTTCTGTCGAATCTCTTTGTGTCTTTTGTTCTGGCAAGGCGGAGAATTTAGTCCATCTCTTCATTAATTGTCCTTCTTTTAAGTTGATTTGGGAAGAGATGGAATCTTGAACAAGCTTAAGTTAGAGTATTGGAGTTTTTGTTTAGAATCATTTTCTTAATTGATATGTTGGATGCGGGAAGAAGAAAGTGAATACTAGCAAAGAGAGTTTAATTTGGATAATGGCGATATGAGGCATTTAGAGCGCGTGGAATAACATCATTTTAACAACGGTCTGGGTAATGTTTCACATCTTATTTGGAAGATTAAATTGAAGGCTTGGAAGTGGTTCTTCATAGGAGAAATTTCTAATCCCAAATATAATTTTTATGAGTTTTGCAAAGACCGGTTGTATTACTTATCTTAAGTTTCAATTGGCGTGTAATTTTTTTTATTCTGAGTCTTTCATGCTCGCCTTTTTATAGAGTATCTCTAGTACTCTTTTATAGAAATCTTGCTTTTATATATATATATATATATATATATATATATATATATATATATATATATATATATATATATATATATATATATATATATATATATATATATATATATGATCTGACCTGATCAGAAATGGACCGTCACGGCTGGCTCCGAGCAGAAAGCTTTTTTGAACGAGGTGGGGGGGTACCTGCAAGGCACTCCGATGCTGAAGTAAGTAGGAGTACGAGCAGATAATATCAAGTGTAAGGTTAGAATGATGAATACCTGACCCTCTGGAAGCAGAGGGTATTTATAGCCCCCAGCGCTGGGCCAAGGTTCCTTCATTGGGCTGGGCAGGTTTGGCCCAATGGAGGAACTGCCAGGTTCTACGTGTGTAATGGGGACCCGCACGTGGTCCCCTCCCTGGATGTTCTGCGTGAAGTGCGGGCGGACGGAGACGCGGTCTTTTCGGAGTGTCGTTGGGGGAACAATGGACTGAGTCTGCCCTAGCTGGGGTGCTCGAGGTGATGTCGTGCTGGACGTCAAGATGTCGAGCTGGAGACGCAGAGATCGAGCACGTGACCTTATGGAGCACGTCGGGCGCGACTGTGACCCTTTGGTCGGCGTGGTTCTCAGTTGGAGATGTAGGGGTCGAGCACGTGACCTTAGGGAGCACGTCGGGCACGACTGTGACCCTTCGGTCGGCGTGGTTCTCAGCCAGTCTATTTGGATTGGGCCTTGGCGATGCTTTTGGGCCAGTCGGGCCCAGTCCAGAACAGGAGCCCCCCAAGTCGTGGTTCCTTTGTTAGGAGCCATGGCTTGAAATCAGGTTGTTTCCTCGTCGAGGTCTCGTGCCCGGGATAGAGGTGTGGACCCTCGAGGACCTTCTCGTGCCTTGCTCGGAGACATCTTCCGCGGTGGATGCCCGGAGGATCCTCACCGGGGCGCGTCTGTCGAGCATAGGAGGTATCTTTCGGGAACTGTGTCGCCACCCTATGGGGACAGGGTCATCATTACGTTGGGAGCAGCGCGTCGGGGAGAGAGACTCCGTGGTTGCCCGAGGTGACGTTTGGTATTCCACGTCATCACTATAAATAGGGACCTTGGGCCCCATAACACGTTTCTATTCTCTTTGCTCTCTCTGCTGTTGCTCTTTCAGATTCCTTCCCGTCGCGATCTTCTGTCACAGATTCTTCCACTCCCTAGCCAAATCCTATCCTTTGATTCAAGTAAGTGGTTTATTTTCTTCGTTTTCCTGTTAAAATGCATGATTTTTGGCGTTTTGTAGATGTTTTAGGGACTGTGCGTGGGATTAGCCCGGTAAACTCGTGTTTAGCTCGACATATTCATGCGTAGGATCGGCAAACGCATGTTTATGGTCGACACACGCATGTTTATGATCGACATATTCATAGTTTTAGGTGATAACCTTCAGTGCTGCCCGTGGCCTCCATGGTCCAGGGCGCCTGATTCATGATCGCGCCCGGTGGGTTCATGGTCTTGGCCGTGGGCCTCATGATGTGGCTCGCCATATTCGTACCTTGGGTCGGCATGTTGGAGAGTGGTCGCGTAGTTGAACAACACATCGAGTTTTAGTATGTCGGGGAGACAACCATTCGTGGGGACGGACCATGTGGTCGTACATGGGACGACGTAATTTGTCGAGCGTATGGCTTCGTGCCCATTTGACTGGTTTCCCGTGCTCTGCAGGTAACCATGGCGGACGAGCCGAGCTCCTCCGGTCGCCACGATCGTGAAGAAC